TTGAAATATATCTAGGAAATTAATTATAAGCTTTTAAAGGTATTTTTTACTTTCATGATGGATTTTTAAGCTGTTTGAATTCAAATCCTTCGCTATTATTTGTATGAAAATAAATCTGGATGGCATTCATGTTGTTTCAGTTATCCATATTTAGAGTCTCAAAGAAACCAGGTCTCTAATATCTCATCAAAAACAGTCATTTCTAGAGCAGTTGTCACAGATTTATGTATTCGAGAGGTATATTCACAAAAGAGAGTATTCATGAAATCTCAGTGATTTACAGTTATCATTAGGTACACTGTACATAATGGAAAGGAGCATTCCAGGACAATAACTATACAGGGCTCTCGATCTGCCAGATTTGGGGCCGATATTCGGCCCAATTCCCAATGCAAAATATTATCTTTTTTTCCCAATTTAGACCCCAAGTTCTCCCAATTCTAAGGAAAACACCATTATTTTTCCCAATTCTAAGGGCCGCGGGCCCTAGTCCCAAAATGGGGTGTGAAAGCCCTGCTATATATATACTGCTGAACTTTCACCATAAACACTTGCAGTCTAAAATAATCATGACATCAAAACATGCGGGAATAACATCAAAACAAGTCCAAAAACAAAGTCAATTTGATTACTCATTGTAAAGTCATCATAATAAGGATTCAAAAATAGCTTCAATGTGAAACATTTCAAAGAAAACATGACGTCACTGCTTTATTAAATTGTATTGTTTTCACAGTTTACACAAAAATTTACTAACACATACATTGGAAATGTTAACAATTTATCACACTGGCAAAGCAGATCATATTTCATATCAAATCTGTAGAGTAGATATCTTTCCTCAGAAAATTATTAAGTTCAAATAAATGTTGATGTGTCTATGCTTTAGAGAATGTCAGTGTTTTGTCAGATGACATGCAGTTTTAAGCTGTCTGTTTCATACCAGTTGGCATTTTTCATTGGCTTATATAAATGCTGTATTACATGTGTACACATGCTGTACAGTAGACATGTATGTACAGCAATGTTACAAAACAATGTAACTTTGTATATCTTTTCACCCAGAACAAAAGCATTCATCCGATTTATTTAGGAAAATGTCAATATTTCTTATTGAAATATCTTAAGACTATCCAATTTGATAAAATAGAAGTTTGTAGAAGTGCAAGGTCACGCAGGCCGATAGTGCATGTGACATGCCTCGACAAAATGGCCGTTCTGAAATATATAATGGTCTGGAACCGATTTCTAGTCAAAACACTTCATTTTATTTTCCATTTCATTTTTCACTTCATTCTGCTGATTTTTTTTTGTCCATATTTAAGCCGCACCGGTATATAAACCGCACGTCTGACCACCTAGAGAAAAAGCTGCTCCTTATAACCCGCGAAATATGTTACATATATTCTGAACTGCTACCACTTACCATTACAATTAAGGGTTACAGCAATTTACACAAGGACTGAAAAGGATTTCTCACATGCAGACTTTACTATTGAGCAATTTAAAATGATCTAATAAAAGAAAAATGTGTGAAAATCATTCTTGACAACCAACTGAGCATTGCTATAAACTGTCAACCAACTTTCTTTCATATGTGATATTTTTTTGGGAATTTTAAAATTAAAACATATTGGCAAAAAGTTTACTGTTACAATTAAGACATGAATGAAAAAAATATGATCAATATTAAGAAAAAATATGTAAATGGACTAAACAAATCATTTACTGTAAATCACTTTTAATTTACGTGAGGCGAATCAACCCTGAATTCAAATCCCTCGCTATTATTTGTATGAAAATAAATCTGGATGGCATCCATGTTGTTTAAGTTACCCATATTGGAGTCTCAAAGAAACCCTGGTCTCTTATTGCTCGTCATTCCACAATAAAAACTATATATATACTGCTGAACTTTCATCATTAACACTTGCAGTCTAAAATAATCATGACATCAAAACATGCGGGAATAACATCAAAACAAGTCCAAAAACAAAGTCAATTTGATTACTCATTGTAAAGTCATCATAATAAGGATTCAAAAATAGCTTCAATGTGAAACATTTCAAAGAAAACATGACGTCACTGCTTTATTAAATTGTACTGTTTTCACAGTTTACACAAAAATTTACTAACCAATACATTGGAAATGTTAACAATTTATCACACTTCTTACCAGCAGGTTGGTATTTCTTTTTTAGATGAATTCACATTGTAATTTTATTCTCCTAATAATTTCTCATTTCCAAATATATATTTTGCATTTATAAAGAAACAAAACAAAAGGTTCAAAGTGCCTTTATCACTAACCTGGCTTTGTCTGGCTGAAATTGCATCATCAAAACTAAAGGAAAAGGAATTCTAAATAATTCAAGTATACAAGCAGTCTGTTCAAGACTTTTTAGAGTACATGGATGATAATATTAAGTAGGTGGTCAAGGGCTATCGGCCCTTGTGCGAGCTGCAGGTGGAAAGTACGAGAAGGGGTCTTCCCCCCCCCTTGTTGGGGAGTCCGGGGGGCCTCCTGTGGGAAAATTTTGAGAATGAGGAAGCTCTGAGATGCATTTTAAGACAATTTTTTGATGAAAAATAGTGTCTGTCTTTTTTTAATTTTAGTCATATTTTTGTGTGTAACCAGTTATGAAATAGGTATCATCTGTGGACAGGAAAAAAGGCAATTTGGCATACATAAATTAACCTAAATGGAAAATTCTGTGTCTCTCTATTAAACCATAGGAATCACCAATAACTATTATATCTGATGAGATTATTTGAAAAAATTCCGGAAATAAACGTTGACCGTTTACTTTTGTATTAGACTATGCCATGCGGTAAAGATACGATGTAAACAGGCTACATGTAAAATGCTATATTTTAATAATTGTCAGTCAATGCCACAAGTATAGCTCTCAAGAACATTTATGGGCATTATTTGATATGTTTTTCATTCACAATTACTTAGATTTTTATTACAGAAGATCTTTATTCTAGCGTTAGCTGGTCAGGGTGAAAGGCGATGACGTGATGATCGTTGGAGAACCAACAATTAAATGTGATAATGACATACTAGTCTGCTTTATTAAATGCTAGGGGAATACAACAAAATATGTAAAATGCAATTATTTTTAACATCAGCATAGGCATACTTTTTGGCCGCTTCAACCCTTAGCCAAAATAGTCTTCAATAGACCGCTTCCTGTTTATATTCCGTGTTCTCCGTCAGGCAAGCGTTTGCTATAGCCAGGCCTACCGTGCTCATTTTTTGTAAGAAAAGCTTATCTTTAACAAAGAACAATTTCGGACATTTGCATCAGGATGAAGCAGACGCTCACACATTCGATTTGAATAAACTTGCGTTCTCGAAGGTTAATGATGCATAAACAATGAAAACATTTTAAATCAGGTAGGAGAATTTTTTCATTATCTCTGAAATTAAAATAGCCGGCGCCGACATCAAAATAGACGGTCAGATTCACCGGCTGCCGGCTTCTATTGAATACACTGTACAGGACACCATCTATCTGTTTCCCATTTGGTCCTAACTTATGGGGATCTGCCAAACCATTCATGCCTGAGACAAAATTGAGAAAGAACCCTGCTACTTCTTAAAGGAAGGATTCTGAGGAAATTGTTCTATTTCCCCTTTCAGGGATCCTGCCCCTCCTCCTTCAGGGGGCTGAGAGCCATCATTTATACAAAATGATTCCCATTCACCCAATAGTGCTTCAAACCAAATTTGGGAAAAAAACCAATCATTCCTATAGGAAGAGTAGGATTTTAAAGAATCGGCTCTATTTCCAAAATTGGACCAGGCTTCAGGGACTTAGATGTACCATTATACAAAAACTATTAAGAAAATACCAACATGTTAACATAATCATAATCTAAACTCAATTCCAGAAAACTAGGGAAAAATATGAACAAAAGAAAGACTACAAGGAGACTCCTGAAAAATTCCAAGGAGAATAACAAGACCAGGTGTTCTGGAAAAGTAAGCGCCTTCTGTTTTATCGACCACACATGCCATACAAACCTTGTTCAATTTAAGCAAGTAATGTCGCAGTTTTTAAATGAGAACAAGGAGCATTAAAGTGTGGCATTATCCCCCATACCCAGCTGTTGGTGTAAAACCAAAATATGATATATGTACTGGTATAACAATTTGATGTCACTCAATTATGTACCACTACTACCATCTGAAAATCTAATTCAGTGTAAGTGCTAGTACAAAATGTAACATCATCTTTTGTCAATTTTCAATAAATTTCCTTGCATTTCCTGAACTTCAACATAATATATCAACCTTACAGTAAGAGTTTATATCTTGATGTAGATACTGTGTGTTTGACTGTTGACATTTGAATAGAGCTTAGAATGAACAAATTTCTGCAACACTCTATAAGCTCCGCAGTAATACACGAAGTCACAAGAAATTGAACTAGAGATCCCAGATAGATCTTGGCGTCCACCGTTGTTTGTTCTTTATTTGCTCTTTGAAAGTTGGATCTTTTCCCTTCTTTTCTCTTCTCTGTTTTTGTTCTTAATGATAAGAAATTTAAACATTCCTTTGCAGATACAGTGATGATAATCTTTACCAGCCAAATCAAAAATGGTCACCTGGAAGCCATTTTGTTTCTTCTGATCAGTCCCAAAATCAAATGGGTACAACTTGGGACCAATGGGAACCTACATATGAAATTTGAGAAAGATCCATCCAATACTTTTCAACAAAAAGCGATTACAAAAATTGTTGACGTACGGATATATGCCAGGACGGATGATGGACAAACCATGGACAGACAGTGGAAAGACCATAGAAGTAGGGCAAATTGAATAGCCAAAATGATGACAGGTTAACAGACTCCACACCATACTGCCACTCTCAACTTCTCAAGCTTCCCTCATGCGTAAAGATTAGATGGAAATGTTGTGAAGATTCACACTATGCACATGCGCTATATATGAAATGTCATTAATTTCAAATAGTTTAACATACTCACCATGTTACTTTAGAATGACATATAGATATTGAAGTTGTAGCCTTTAAGGCCTTGAACATTGCCAGGCCTGCCTTCCAGTTCTTCATTATAAACTGCAAAATAAAATATACTATAATCAACAAACAGTAGTATGTATTCATAAACTTGTCATGTTCACTTTTCAGAAAAATCTAGGAACTAAAATAATCTGTGATGTTTTCACCAGAATAGAGTTCTGCCTTGATGTTAAGGCTAATTAGCTTGGGTGCAACTTCATGTATATACATTATTTTGATTAAGATGAAGGGTACTATCTTAAGACTTAAATAGCCGAAAGACCAAAAGGCATCAATTGTGGATATAAGGCAAGTAAAATAAAACTGACATAAAGGATACTATCAAATTATGATGTACTATCGCATTGATACTATAATTTCCACATTAAGTCCTTCTTAAAGTCATGGCTGCAGTAAAACAACATAGGAAGGGGCACAAAAGAATCACTATACAGCAATGTTATTGCTTAAACATCTAAGCTAAACTATATAACTGACCTAATAAAGATTTTATTAGAATCAGTAAAAATTGCAATATTCCATACATGAGAATACAGCATCTAAAAAAGTCTATGTTTATATGGGGGGTATATTCATATGAACAAGAGGTTGAAAACACCAATACCTGTTGCTAAGTTTGCATGGCTGCTACATTTTAGAGGTCACTCTGATGAAAGAAACAAAAGGTAGTCTAACTGGTAATTGGTTTCTGGAAATAATTTGTTCAAATCATTGTCTTTCTAAAATGTGCTTTGGTAGAATCAAAGTTCAGGGCTCTCACACCCCATTTTGGGACTGGGGCCCGGGGCCCTTAGAATTGGGGAAAATAGCAGCGTTTTCCTTAGAATTGGGAAAACCTGGGATCTAAATTGGGAAGAAGGATACCATTTTGCATTGGGAATGTATTCGGCCCCAAACCTGGCAGATCGAGAGCCCTGAATTTTCAATCGTGCACAGTACAATCTGCCAATCAGCATACAGATAAGACCTGTGTATACCAAATATTTTAACCTACAGATAACAAATATATCTACCAATCTGAAATAGCTTATATCATATTTATACTGAATTTGGGTACCTTGGAGACCATGAGGCCCTGTTAGTTTACCTTTCACAACATTAGCAATCACACATGAGGTTCAGGCCACTTTCCCTTACAATGTGGGTTCGAGATGCTTTGGCAGCAGAGGATGTGTTTTTTTATTTCTTCAGCTAGGAATGAGCATGACAGGATATGATGGACTGAAGGTACTAATATGGAGTTAGCAAAAGGTTCATCAATAGGGACAATTTATTCACAAAAGAACTAAGCCAGACATGTGCTGTGTGAGGACTCTATGTATGGTTTTGAAATTTGCCATGTAAATTTTCTTGACTCGTGAATTCTGACTACTAGCCTGACAGCGAAGTGTTTTAGAAAGTTTTTATTGGGCCATATTTTATTGAATCAGCCAATTGTGCATGATATGTACATAAAACATCGGTCCGAAAGTTGATGAAAGTGAATATGCACCGATGTCTTTCACAAAATAAAATATCACACATTAATAGGACATACAGACGTCAGAATTTAAGGAAATACCTGGAAAATACAACAAGATTGATGAAATACCAAAATATCCCACATTTCATTTACATAATCAAGTATCAGATGGGCCGTATGGTTAAACGATAAGAAAATCCTAGGGCAGGTACTTAGAGTCTGGTTGCGCTGGCAGTATTTGTATGGGGCCGTTTACCTGTGCAGCAATGCAATGTGGGGGGAATGTGAACCGGTGGGTTCCTACTCGGCCATTGCCCAATTTTATCGATATCAGAGGGGTACAATCATTATGAAATGCAAGTTTAGAAACATTTAAGTCATACGCATACTACCTGAAAAGCTGTCAGGTTAACTTGCACTGTGAAAACCAGCTAGTAGCATGTGATACACAAGATGTTTACATGCGGTGTAGCAGAAGATAGAAATGGCAGGTGCTTGTCAAAATAATTTTACAAAATACACAAATCATACGAAACATGTCGTAGTTGTTAAACATTGATTTAACAAGATAAGCCAATATATTAGCAATCTTATAAAATATACAAAGACCTTAGTTTGTGTCATATCTGTTCTGGTTTCAAGAACAGATTTCTTATTCTCTTTGCTTAAAAACAATCCCGTCAAGCTCTTCCGTATAAATCAAGAGCAGTCGTTCCGTAAAATGAAAAAATCAATATTTAGAGCATAGCGGGATATCCATCCGGGATCTTATTCATTCGCCAGCTAAACCGCATAGAAAATACTGCATAGTAGGCGATATGAAGGGAGTATATGTTGGAGTATGGGGACTTAAATGGACGCAAAACACAAATCGAAGATGAAGAAGTTCACTCTAAAGGGGGTGCTTGATGGCATAAGGTCATCTGTGAGTGCACCCCCGAAATTTGAGAATGAAGTCGAGGAGACATTGAGAACGGACCACTTTCAAGTTTGCAAGGTTGGTGAACATAACATTAGAAATGCTAAATAGTAAAACGTATATGTTGTAATGACATTTTATCAAGCATAAATTATAGAAATTCCTGGTTCATATTTCTTTTCTAATGTTCTGATTTCTGTTGTTGTCATTACAGACCGTTCGTCATGGGTTTCCTTATCAACCTACTGCGGTTGCATTTGATCCTGTTCAACATCTTTTAGCGATCGGAACGAAGACAGGTTCTTTGCGGATGTATCCTTTTAAATGCTTTTGCTGGTGATATCGATTTACATAAATCTCAGCCCCTACCTTAATATTAGTGTAAGTATATTCATTATACTATTATACGCACATACACACACTGGTGTTATATTAAATTTGATGTTGGTTAAGGGTACATTGATGCTGAATGCTGCTGTAGACTTTGTGATGGTGGATATGAGCAGATGTATCCTGTGATTCTTCCCTTTTCTGGAGGCCCTACACATGGCAGTGTATGCTGGTCGCCCAGATCAATAATCTGTGTACAGTTCATTGCTGCTAACAGGGCCTTTATTATTTTAGAATAATATTCGCAAGAATTATTGAACATTTTTTCATCACTGTTGTTCTTGTGGCTTTTGTAGATTTTTGACCACACAGATATTTTAATGCATCTGGCATCATAACAGACAATACAGTTTGTTGCATTTCATGTTATGGTATTTTCTGTTTTCCTTTCAGTGCAGTGTTTGAATAAATTATTAATGTGATTTTGATTTTAATTTTAATTTATGCTATTGTATCACCCATTTAAACCCAGGAAAGTCTTTATAAGAAAATTTAACATTTGAAACCCTTGCAAAAGTTGTGTGAATGTGAACAGATTTGTCACTTGATTAAAGGAGTGTTCTTTAAAAAAAAGTGCCTCAGTACTATTCTTATTTATTCTGACCTTTTGTAAAAGCTATTCTGATTTAATAATCAAATTAACTGAGCATTTGTTAGTTTGATATCAATTTTTTTTTGTCCATTTTGGGTCCCTGCAATTTTTTTTTTTTTTTTGTAAACTGATGTGTCATTCAAATCACTGTGTGGGAATTTGTATTGGTCTCATTATTGTGCTTGTTAACTTCATTTTCAAATCTGCATGTTTAGAAAATCATCTGCTCTAGTCACACAAATCAATGTTTGATTGTGAAGTGATCAGTTGTGATTGTTGGTAATGGACATACTACTTCACTAAATAGCAATATCATGAGGATAAATTAGAGACTGTCTCAAGTGGTATTATTTGTATTTCAAGCTATGCTGGTGCATTACAGTCCGATGTCATTACAGATAATGAATGAAAACAACAACAGAATACTAACATGCTAGCAAAAAGATAATTAGACCAAGTGTTCCAGAAGTGCAAGTGTCATTCATCACCTGACATGTTAATCTTGTTCAATTCAAGTGTAATTTTGCATTCCCAAATGACAACCAGTTTTCTGAGGGCAAACCACCTGGCATACCTATTATAATGAGTATCAAACACACTGAATTTTATATCACATATCAAGATCATGATATAAGGGCAATGAGGCAGACATGCCAACCATAAAACATCTTCATACTCTTTATCAACTAACAATAATTTGTTGTTTCTCTTTATAGTTACAAGCTCATATTTAATGCAAGGAAAATGATAACATGCTATCATCAACAAACATTGTCTAGTGTTTTGATTTTTATATCCCCCATCCAGTGACATAATTGGTTCATTGTTTTAACTTACAGACATTTTAAATTGGGTAAAATACTTAAGGTAAGACATTACATTTCAAACTCATGTTTCAAATTCGGAGTCTCCATGGGGCCAAAATTCTCAACTTGTAGCAGCTCTAGGAAACAATAGATTTTTTTACACTCTGAAGGAAGCGGAGGTAAATATTTTCAGTTTGAGGAATTTTACTTCATTTAAGTGTGAAAATATTGATTCAAGCCAAATATGAAGACAAAGAAAGCACATGTTGCTTACACATTTTACACTTAATTATTTTCAGTATTTTCATCTCATCCTGCCACTATTTTTCTAAAACAGGTTCAATATGTTTTGACTGCATGCTTCTAATCTATATTATCTGAAAATAACTTAGACAAACCAAAACCCTTGATAATACTTTTCTGCCTTACAGAGTCCTGTAAACTCGAAAAATCTTATGTACAGGAATATTGATCTGCTGAAGTTACACACTGTGATATATATTCATAATCCAACATGGCTACATGAGGAGGAGATTTGGTTTTACACTCTGCATTTGTGTAATAATTGTTCATTTGTTTGGGGTTTTTTTTAATATGTAGAAGTATATTCCACTACAATTACTGGACATTCTTTTTTATTGGACTTAGATTAAAGGTATAAAGTTAGTGTACATATGCCTGCAAATGGCAGTATTGCCATTTGTATTAATGTTGTGTAGTATCCATTAGAATTACAATCAAATCTATAGATTCACATTTTGTTGAATTGTTAAAGCATTTGAAATATGACTGTTGCAACTTCAGATTTTTCTGAAATTAATTATCATTTCATGATTATCTTAATCTGAATCAGCCTGATGATGTGATAATTTTCCAATGCACTTGATGCCTCTCTATAAATGCAAAATTTGTTGTACTCATGAATTAATTTTTTATGCCTTCAGGAGATGGTCATAGTTGAAGGTCATCTTTTCAGTTCAAGTTCACAGATTTTTTTACAATAGGAATGTTAAAACTGTATAGACTTTGGTTGTCTGCAGCTTCATTGATAAGGACATGTTTTGATCTAGATATCTTGAAAGTGACATGATCTCTTAAGACTGTATGGGTTAAAGTCATTGTCATTAAGTAACATCAAGGTCAGGAGGTATAGGATTGGCTTGTGCATACTTTCACAGCAAATTTTAGACTTAAGTTGTAATTTGTTAAAGTTTCTTTATACCAGCCTTCAGTAGTAAATTGCAAGTTTGCACATAACTATTACAGAAACATTTGTTTACTATATGTGCAATACTGACTTAAATAATTACGTCAGAAGAGATGGGAAGGAGGGGGGTTAAAGTAATGCTCTTGTTTTATTTATATATTTCATTTTTTGTATTTGATTGTAAACGGAAAAATGGAAGCAATCTTGCGAAATATAGGATTATGTGCACACCTGAAGAAATTAACATGTTCTTCCTAAGGGGCATGGAAGATTTAATTAATTAATGGAAAAGAAAAAGTACTATACATGTGAGAAAAAATAAAGAAAGCCTGAGGTTATTAGCTAGAGAGTAATCACAGCTGGATACTGAAATAGATTTTTTAAAAACAGTAAATGTTGGTGTAAAGAAATTTGAACCTTAACTATGAATCATTGACAGCTTCAGTATCGCGTATACACAGGAATATGTCATATATAAATCCTTTGGTTATCTTTATTTCTCAAAGTATATTTGTTAACTTCATTCTCATTTGAAAATGTATCAAAATTCAGACGAGTGGTGTTCCATTGTGACATGTAAATGCATCTAGGAGCTCACCCACAGTGAGCTTTGAAACTGAAACCCAAAAGGTTGTGCTGTCCTTCAGACATGGTCAAATAAAATAAGCCATTTGATTGGTCCCATGTTATTTAGGGTGACCTTTTTCAAAGCTGAAACTTTGAAAATGAAATAGAGAGCTGCATCTATGGGCTAGTGAAATCCTTTCAATGTAAGTCTGTGGTTCTGAACTTTTTGTGAAGTATTGTCAGGGTTGGACAGCTAGTTTTCTAAAACAGAATTCATGTATAACACACAAAAATTGTCCCTTGTATGCAGGCAGTCCTCATGGGAGTATGCAGTACATGATTGAGATAAAAATAGATTTGGAGCTGGTCACAGTTATATTGATACTTCTTTATATCTTCTGTTAAAACAACCACACATAATTATGAAGGAAGCAGAAATTTTGTAACAATCAATAGACACTGAAATGTATTTGTAAGCCTGGATTTTACCAAGAGCAACATAATTAACAACTGTTGCTACTTCATTAAGATCCAGTTGCCTAGTTGCTAGCTATGCAAGGTCACAAAAAAGGTAAAAAAATCCGAACATCATATATTTGTAGACTTTTCACATTTCCGAACTTACATCTCAATTCACCATTACCTCCATCATGATTTTTATAATCTAGATTTACTTATAGCATTATTTTGAAAGTTGTTTTAATTTGTTGATTTTAACAGTTTTATAGAAAGTTTATGACTTTCGAGTCAAAACAACATAATTGCAATTAAAAGGGATAAAGCGTTCATAAGTAAAGTTTGTTTCATTATTCATCAACCAAACAATACAGAACTAGTAATGATATGTAGATTGTGTATGGTGCTATTATGATATGTTAAATGGTAACATCTCTGTATAATACAGTATTAAGGATAATTAAAACCTACATAGAATTGCTTTTTCATTTTCAATACATTTTTTAGTTAGATGGCCGGCAGATGAAATGCCATCCACATGTCTTTTGTTATCTTTGATAATTACTCGTTAACTGTGTCGTGTCATAACATTTGACTTAAAGATATATACTTTTAAGTTGGAATTAACTTTTGGTGACAGTTTTTGGTATTCATGACTCTTCCTATTTCTATGTGACATTCTGATGTCTCGTCTTTACTGATGGTAAACCCAATGAAAAACTAGCCTTTACTTTGATTAATGTTGTGAGATAGATTGACCACACAAAAATTTAGGATGTTGATCAGATTGGTAGATTTAATCAGTTGATTTATTCTCTTAGGTGTCTCCCGTCTTGATGATAAATGAGGGTTTTATAGATATAAACCATTGATTGAATCCAGAATTCTACATACTGACACATTATTCAATATTTGGCCAGTATTGTCTTACGTAACAGAAATTGTATAGATAAGTGTATATATGGTGAACAAACACTGTGTCCTGCTTATGTATTTTAAATGAGAAATAATTTTCATTTTTGTTCGGAAAAATATAATATAAATACTAAGTACCTACCTATTTTGAGAAGTTGTGAACAAGATATAAAGATACACTTAACCATGATTTGACAAGTTCCTGAGTGCTGTATTATTTTCTCACTTCTTTCTCTTTTTTATAACTTTGAATAAGGAAAAATATGGCAAAGATGTTATATTAACTAGAGCTGAAACAAACAGCAGATTTTAGTGTAAAGGCATTTGTTCAATGCATCTGAATGGTATTCAGTTATATGGATTGCAATTTCATATACTC